TAGAGAATGCTTCAGTACATATTCAACTATTCAATTAGAGTGTCCCAAGAGTTGGCAGTAGCTGGTGTTTACTGGCTGCCTTTCTTCTGGTCTATCACTTCACACTTAGAGAATGCTTCAGTACATATTCAACTATTCAATTAGAGTGACCCAAGAGTTGGCAGTAGCTGGTGTTTACTGGCTGCCTTTCTTCTGGTCTATCACTTCACACTTAGAGAATGCTTCAGTAGATAGTTCACGAGTAGCTTTTTACAAGATTAAACAAAACTCATCTTTCAGCTCATCTGGCATGGAAAGATGGCAGTGACTTACGACAAAAGATAGATATAACCATACGTCTGGTTTAGAATCCGAAATGAACAAAAAAATGTAATAAAAATATCTTTAATTTAGCCTATTTTAACACAAGTATTAGACCCCCTTTAGCTTTCAATGTCTACGCCATATTTTAGTGTATTGTTTGTTTGTTTTTGTTTAGTTATACATTTACATTAATCTTAAGAATCAGTAACGAATTTTCAAAAGTAGCATATTGAGACGTGTCCACGTGGTTTGATAATTATTATCAGGAGTACATACTAAACAGAGTAATATATTTTATTTTATTTTCAGCTCAGTAAACGCAAAATTTACTATGAAAATTCGGTTCGCTGTAGTTCACGTTAACACTAAATTATCGAGGTTTCTATGTTTTTAATTGATAATGAAAACATTATTTTTTCTTTGGAATTAATTTCACAAACTTACTCATTTCTGTTAGAATCTTCCATCTGGCCTAAAAAGTAAAAAAAAAGTATATAAAGCATTAACATCTTGGCAATAAAAAATATCTAATCTGACTAATACCTTTTGCAAAATCAATCTAAATATATGTCATTTTAATATTTACAGAAATCTGACGACTGCAGTTAAATATATTGGTATTATAATATTAAATATACCCATATATTTTCAATTCTAAACAGGTAACTTTTCATTTCGTGCTTCATGCTTCGAGTTATTTATTCTTGCTGCTATACTAAATTAATGTCACTGACATTATTATATGGCTAATTACGTTATTAGTTATTCGTATAACTGGCTTTATTGGTGATTGGCTTAATCCTGTACTTAAAAATAAAAGACTTATTTCCAGTTATTCAAGTGACTGGTTTATTATTGATTTTCATCGTACCCACTTTTAACCTTAATGCAAGGTGTAAAATTATTTCTTAATCGAGAGTAATTTTTACTTGTTTTCTCTCTCTCTCTGAGAGCCACGATCTGTTTACAACTGTGATATAACGAAGAAGTAATTAAGCCTTATTTGAAACAATTATAATATACATATATTGTTTTTATATTCATAGTTACTTCACATATTTGGCATAGCTATAATTAAATTGTTGTTATATTTATATTAGTGTAGAGATATACTTTTCGATAATCAGTAAGTTATGGAAAACGACTTTATTTACTTTTCATCCACCAACGCTGGTATTTTGATGTACCTTAACTACATGTGGCTTTTTGTCTTTAAAATGATTTTATTAGAAGCTACATTGCCATTTTTCCAACTCTCCAGCAGTACTTTAACTGAAGGTTGTCTTAAGTACTTATTTGTAGAATCTCCAGGCATTAGAAGAGAAAATTACTTTAACTGAAGCTTGTCTTAAGTACTTACTTGTAGAACCTCCAGGCATTAGAAGAGAAAATTACTTTAACTGAAGGTTGTCTTAAGTACTTACTTGTAGAACCTCCAGGT